TGTGACTACACTAAATGTTCTTCCAAATATGAAACTCTTGAACTGTTTTGACCCCCTTTTACAATAGCTAACATTTCTTGTTATTTTGTTGAATATTTGAATTCTGCCGCATTTAGGAATCGGAAGGCAAACTATATTGGATTATGGCTACCGTCTCAAAAGATGCTGTTGTCCTTGTGAAACGTTTTAACTGGACAATATTGGCCACATTTTTCTTCAGAGCATCAAAGGCAGAATTGCATGCCGGGGGCCTTTAAAAAATGAATTTTTTTACTTAACCATGGCAGTCACGGCGTCGAGTATTCCGTCAATGCTGGCAAGTACCTATGCTAACCCTGAATTGATTCCATGAAATATTTCAAATTTGAGAGGGGTTTCATCGTTCAAACATCAATATATTCAATTTTTTGGATGAGAAGAGATTTATACAGTTCCATGATTTTATAGCCTGGCCATTCTAATTGGTGTTTTTCAAATTCGCACTTCGAAAACTTCAGAGCCGTTTAATTTTTGATCGAATTTTTCAATATCTTTCCGACCAATACAATGAGTTTGATTTCTGTTCCTTTCGAAAAAAATAGAACACCTTCCAAAAACGCAAAGGGAACTTTGCTTAGATTAAACCCTTGACCCTTTGGAGTATTGCAGACATAGTTGATAGGCGGTAAGAATGTGAATGAAGCATAAATATAGCTGTAGACTCGCCCCCCTCTAACAAAAAAATACTAAGATTGCTACTGCCCCCACATAGCTTCAGCTGCGTGTTTGACCGAGTTTTTCTCGCTGAGTGTTTCACCGATGATACCAATGATTTCTCCGATATTTGGTTTTTGGTACTTCGTTTGTGTATTTGACTACTTATTTCCTTCGATTGCGCGCTAATTTCACCAACCAATCCGTTTTAACTGTTATTAGTATGAGCGGCACAAAGTAATTATCCGAACATTTCCTGAGTTTTACAATGTGAACTTGTTGTGACATTTATCTTTTGTGACATTTATCTTTGTGACGTTCATCATCAATTTCTTGGGATTCTTACCATAATCACTGAATTCGCCGTCATTTGGCTCTAAGAGCGACAGCTGCACGGATGCTGCTCCTAATTACGTTTCAGCTCACCGATCGTATAAATTGACATAGATGATCTCCTGTCTATCCACTCCTGCGTCACTTTTCTGATGATTTTTATTCATAACTTTGCCCTTGCTAGTTTCAATTAGTTTTCCCCTTTTCACGATCAAAATGACAACATAATCGTTCCAACTGTCCAAACTCCATCCGTGGGAGCTTGATTGTTGGTCGTTAACCGACTCCAACAAGTTTTCATGTTCTGACGAAGAGTCTTCGTGGTCATGAACTGCTCGCAAATGTCATCCTGGCCTCGAATTTCTCTGACCCGGTTTCGGTTTGCTCCCCGTATCCATCCGCACATACGTTCGTTATGCCCTGGTCTTTTTTCAAAAAATATAAATCGCGTTTCCTGCTGGAAACTATGATTTGTTGTATGCCCACGCTGAACTTAATTGAAACAGCGCCTATCAGCTTCACCCTGTGTAGTTCTTTGATACAATCCATTTCCATGCCCTTTGGAATGGACTTCGATTTTTGTTGGCCTTCACTGAGCTTAGGTTGAACAAGTCTGGAGAACTCTCTGAATTCATGACGAATTTATGATTCCGAGGTTTTAGGCTCATAATGTTGTTCGGGTAAGCGGGCGAATAAATTTCCCGTTAGAAGTTGGACTGAATGGAAACAACAGTATTCGTCTTTATCTGTACGGTTCTGGATTTTCTGGTGTCACATTGTTGTTTCTAAAGTCCACCTCCTGAATCCTGCTAATACTGATGATTTTTAGATAGCGAGACAGAATTTGATATCGTTTTTTCAGCGAGTTGTTCATTATACACTTCATTTGCAGTATTTTCTTCAATTTTTTTGCGCTTTTCCGGTTGTCGGCCCTCGACTTGCAAATCCGTATTTCTACCTGTATTTCTTATCGATCCGCTGTTTTGGTAAATAAAACGGAGGGACCCAAATTTTGAGTTTTTTTTTGCTATAGAAAATCTACTATCGTATCTAGTAACTGTGTGCGCTTCTCCACCGGATGTCTTGAAAGGTAACCCGCAATGCTAAATTTTGATCCGGCAAGTTTTTATGACAAATTTGAAAGGAATGATTTGGTAAATCCATTGGGTCAGACGGCTAAACAATGTTTCGTTCATTTTTTTGTTTCCATCTGGCAATGTTACGAGCACCATATTGTATGTTACTACCGTAAATATTCTTCCAAAGATGAAACTCTTGAACTGTTTTGACCCCCTTTTACAATAGCTAACATTTCTTGTTATTTTGTTGAATATTTGAATTCTGCTCGAATTTTTGATCGATTTTTTCAATATCTTTCCGACCAATACAATGAGTTTGATTTCTGTTCCTTTTGAAAAAAAATAGAACACCTTCAAAAAGCGCAAAGGCTTATGGAACTTTGCTTAGATTAAACCCTTGACCCTTTGAAGTATTGCAGACATAGTTGATATGCGGTAAGAATGTGAATGAAGCATAAATATAGCTGTGGACTTGCCCCCCTCTAACAAAAAAATACTAAGATTGCTACTGCCCCCACATAGCTTCAGCTGCGTGTTTGACCGAGTTTTTCTCGCTGAGTGTTTCATCGATGATACCAATGATTTCTCCGATAATTGGTGTTTGGTACTTTGTTTGTGTATTTGACTACTTATTTCCTTCAATTTGCGCGCTAATTTCACCAACCAATCCGTTTTAACTGTTATTAGTATGAGCGGCACAAAGTAATTATCCGAACATTTGCTGAGTTTTTCAATGTGAACTTGACATTTATCTTTTGTGACATTTATCTTTGTGACGTTCATCATCAATTTCTTGGGATTCTTACCATAATCACTGAATTCGCCGTCATTTGGCTCTAAGAGCGACAGCTGCACGGATGCTGCTCCTAATTACGTTTCAGCTCACCGATCGTATAAATTGACATAGATGATCTCCTGTCTATCCACTCCTGCGTCACTTTTCTGTTGATTTTTAATCATAACTTTGCCCTTGCTTGTTTCAATTCGTTTTCCCTCTTTTTACGATCAAAATGACGACATAATCGTTCCAACTGTCCAAACTCCATCCGTGGGAGCTTGATTGTTGGTCGTTACGTTAACCGACTCCAACAAGTTTTCATGTTCTGACGAAGAGTCTTCGTGGTCATGAACTGCTCGCAAATGTCATCCTGGCCTCGAAATTCTCTGACCTGGTTTCGGTTCGCTCCCCGTATCCCTCCGCACATACGTTCGTAATGCCCTGGTCTTTTTTCAAAAAATATAAATCGCGTTTCCTGCTGGAAACTATGATTTGTTGTATGCCCACGCTGAACTTAATTGAAACAGCGCCTATCAGCTTCACCCTGTGTAGTTCTTTGATACAATTCTTTTCCATGCCCTTTGGAATGGACTTCGATTTTAGTTGGCCTTCACTGAGTTTAGGTTGAACAAGTCTGGAGAACTCTCTGATTTCATGACGAACTTATGATTCCGAGGTTATAGGCTCATAATGTTGTTCGGGTAAGCGGGCGAATAAATTTCCCGTTAGAAGTTGGACTGAATGGAAACAACAGTATTCGTCTTTGCCTGTACGGTTCTGGATTTTCTGGTGTCACATTGTTGTTTTTAAAGTCCACGTCCTTAATCCTGCTAATACTGATGATTTTTAGATAGCGACACAGAATTTGATATCGTTTTTTCAGCAATTTGTTCATTTTACACTTCATTTGCAGTATCTTCTTCAATTTTTTTGCGCTTTTCCGGTTGTCGGCTACGACTTGCAAATCCATATTTCGACCTGTATTTTTTATTGATCCGCTGTTTTGGTAAATAAAACGGAGGGACCCAACTATTGAGTTTCTTTTTGCTATAGAAAATTTACTATCGTATCTAGTAACTGTGTGCGCTTCTCCACCGGATGTCTTGAAGGAAACCCGCAATGCCAAATTTTGATCCGGCAAGTCTTTTCTGACAAATTTGAAAGGAATGATTCGACTCCATCTGTGCTTCCCTGGTTCTCATGTTGACTATGAACACGTCTTGAGAAGTTCTTCTTTCTGATGTCACAAAGTTACAGCGCCCCTAAAACCAATTCAGCACCTGGTAAAACTTTTCCAGGGTTTCTTCTTGTCTGTGTTTCCGCACCAATTGTTGATATGTCTCGAAGTATCAATCCGCTCCTCCGTGAACATGTCTTCAAATTCATCCAAAAGCCTAGGGTACCTAGTTGTCGCTAGGTCCAAGTCCAGTTTTCGATTATGCAAGTCATCCTCTCCGCATTTGCTTAAAAACAGACAGGTTTGAAATGAGCGTCTACTCCGCCTCCACGGGATTCATTCCTAAGACATCCGAAGGTAGCGCCGTAAATTGCGCTGTCGTCAGTCGTTTGTCGAAATAAAGATGTTGGGATAAGTCCGTGTTCCGCGATTACGCCCCAAATGAACCCGTTCACCCCATCTTCCCACAGCATTGGGGGTTCCACTGTTTTACATAGACCAAATACCGTTATCTCTAAGAGGTCGTTTCTTCCCCGACGCCATTTCTTGCTGTCTACTCCACGAGAAATTCAGTTGCACTATTATAAGATTTAAAAAAACACGATAACTCAACTGTTAATCTCACTCAGCTGATTTAGAACCTCGGACACAGGACGTGGCTGTTGACAGGTACCAATTAGACAGCGCCAAAGGACGAAAGTCAACACCAAAAGACTGAAATTAAAACTAGTATAAACTTTATACCCATATGACACATCCAAAATTGATTTTTTTTTTCTCAGATGTGGCATATAGAACCTTAACCAGTTACAAGTAGCAAAACTCAACATTATTCCAAAATGCCTCCACTGTTTTTTGTTCGGAACAAAAGGGTGAGTTTTTAAGTTTAATTCACCAATTTGAACAAGTTTAAATGTAAATTATGTGAAACTGACTGTATAGTGCACGCTATTGTACAAATTGCGGTTTTCATTCATTGAGAATCGGCGGTTTTCAGACTTCGGAAATCGGCGGTTTTTGAGTCCTGGGATAAAATGCTAGTATCTAATGCCCATTGTTCTAATGTCTTCATCAGTTATCCCATTAAACGTGGGGCTGGTCTGGATGAGGCTGCGAAAATCGGGAAGCCAGTTTCATTATTGACTCTTCATCCAAATAAACATCTTCAAAATTTTCAATCGGATTCGATCCCAGATGTCCGTTTGCTGTTGTTTTGATGATATTTCCTTCTGTCGGAGATAAACACTCGAACCTGGCTTCCCCATCTACCCAATAAAGGCGATAGATGACTTGGGTTTTTTGAGCTTTGTCGCTTTCAGCTTCGCCCACAGGGTGACCAAGACTTAAAAGATGTTCCTTGTCTTAATAAGTAGTTCGAAAATAAGATTGGTTGTAATTTATTTAAGTAAATCTGATTTAAATTCTAAGTATAACTTTTGCTAACATTTTCTAACAATTTTCTTTTCTAAACGTTTTTTTTCTTATACTGGCAATTCTATCCCAGTTTTTAATTCAAAGTACTCTTTTCTGAAGAATTTCCTGTCAAAAATTGTTCGAAGTTTTTTTGAGATTGATTTGTAACTAATAAATTAGGTAGCTTAGATATTTTTTGAGTACGGAAACATCAGAATTAAGTTTTTTATACTGGCAATTATGGTCACTCTGTGTTCCATCGGCCATACATTTATATATCATGGCCACTTGCGAGCCCATTCTGGCCTGGATGATCTTGCGCGAAAGAATCTGGAGAGTGGCACAGAATTCTCGATATTGCCTCTCGTATCCCCCCACTCCCACACTATTCCCCTTATTCTAAATGAACAGTCTTAACCTAATTGTGTTAGTATAGTTATGCTATGAAGAGAGCGCACAATTTTTTTATTTTGAACTTTTGGTGTTGGGTAGACTTATACATTAGATAGTACTGCCAAAATTGAGTCGTTTAAACAACTAAGGGTGGAAAAGTACGTGAACGCCAAATTGTTTTTCGCTCATATGCTACAAAATTAGGAGGAAAAGACTTCAATACAGATCGTGAATTTGTTTCAAAACATCATAATGTAACTTTTTTTTCGGCTTCTTAACACTTTTTTCAAAGCATCAAAATTAAATTAAAGTTTTTGGCCTTTTTTTTTAAAGTATTTCAGGATCAAAAGCGCAACTCAAAAGGTATCCAAGAGTAACCGACGCTGTTTTTAAGGTGGGAAAAGGACAGAAGGCACTCAGCTCCCATTTTTAGATTTCGGTCGCCTAGACCCGTCCACCTTTTGAGCTTTCTTTCGGAAATTTTTTGCCAAAACTTTTTCTATGGCCATTTTTCTCTGTCAAATGTATTTATAACGCAGAAAATAGGGGCTCTTTTCCAGTTCCCCCCCTTTCAAGTTACCGAGTTTTATGTTTGTTTTATGTGTTATTACGGCTAAATGCGTGATGTTACGCTGTTAAGTATGAAGAACAAATCTGTTCAGTTGTGTCAATTTGTTCACCACGCCAAATTTCGTTGCATTATGACAACGCTAAATAAGCTTTTCAAAATTGATTTTGAAAGGTGGGGGGGAAACCGGAAAAGAGCCAAAATAGGTATAGTTTTGGTTTCGACTTCCTTGCCTTATTGTGCTGCTTTCTTCTTTGCTGCCTTTTCGGCTTGCGAAGCTCACGATGATTGGTCGAGACCTCGTCCAATGAGGGTCGACGCTTCTTCCGCTGCCAAATGGAGGCCAACGACTTCCTGAATATTTTGCTCTGCGCGGTGAAAACGACGAACGCCACCGTCATATTCAGACTGAGCAGAATGAATATCAGCTTCATAGCGATTTTCTTGCAAAGAGTGCGCGTGTGAAGAGATGGTAAAATTGAGACCAGCAAAGGACTGAAAAAAAAAAACTCGTTTTGGAGACATATGAAGCAAACGTTTTTTCTTCACACTTTTCTAAACCATCCTACAAATGTTTGCCCTAGCTTGAATGGGTATTTTTTTTATCGTACATAGCCTCGAAACCAAAGAGTTGGTAGTGCTGGATCCATTGATCTTTAGCAGTTGGTAAAAAGATGAGTCATCACTTTCCCTTACTGCGGCTCAGGAGAACAAAAATGGATCTACTTAACAATCCCCTCTACTATATCAACTGCCAACCATATAAATAAAAGCAGTAATTAGCATAAGAGCGTTTTATTTATATTTATAATTCGAATTTTGCTACGTTGTGATTGGTCCAAAATTCACTAATGTAATCAACTTTTAAGTAGATCCCAAAAAAGGTTGAACTTAGTCTATATCCTCAAATCGTTGAGATTGAAATCGTTTAAAATACAGTTTCTTATGCCAAAACTGTTTATATTTAACAAAAGACGAGAGCACTTTTGATGCCATTACAATCTCATTAATAATCAAATCTTCGAAAAAAAAGAAGACTTCTTTCTTTCGAAAAAAAGGGAGCAATTGATCAGCAGACTTATTTATCGAATAATCTACCAATCAGAACGTAGCAAAAATTGATTTATAAATAGAACGATCTAGTGCTAATTTACTGCTTTGAGGGGTGACAATTCTTTAGTAGATGCTATAGCGAGGGCGATTGTTGAGTAGATCCTAATGATCACATTATAGTCTCCCTTGATGATTATGGTAATCGTGGTGTTGGGGTGAGATAAAAAGGTAATGGTGATAGTGATGTTGATAATGACTGAGATGGTGATATGGTGATGATGGTGTGGGTGTTATTCGTGACGGTAGTGGTAATGGTGAAAGTAATAATTATGGTGAAGTAAATTTTAATTTCAATGTTGATGGTGATGATGATTCTGGTGATAATGATTTTAGACTGAAAAAAGTGTGATTATCACGTTTAACTAAATTTATAAATTGTCCCCCAACTATATTCGGTAATCGATCAACCACAACTGTTTTAACACTCAAACACAACCGATGAAAACGAGGCAGGTACTTAACCAACTGTCAGACAACTCCAGGAGCGACAAGAAACAACTCAAACAAGTCAAACTCAAACTGCTAATATACTTTTATGACAATTACCTCCGCTCAAATAATTTTAAATCACAACTTGAAATTATACAAAGCTAAAATCTGCTTGCGAGTTTTAGAGCTTAGTTCAACTTTCTCCCTGGGTATTAGTTTTTGACAGTTTTTTTCCCTGCGGATCTATTCACTACAATTTCTATCACATGCTACTTCCCTCTCAATTTCCCCTGTTGGACAATAGTGAAATCATCACTCCTCTCAGTTTTCTTAAATCCCAATTTAGGTTTGTTAGCGAAGGTTTTTTCTTGAAAGTTTGTAGAACCCTGTTTGCTTCCCGCCCTCGAATGGCGTTACTTTACCGTTACATTAGGCAAAAAAATCTCAATGCCTTAAGTGCGCGCTCCATCATTCTTTCTAAATTCCCGTGTCCGTCCTCCTTTGCATAGGTGAGCACAAAACTTCGATCCCTTCCGTATTGCAAAACGCTTTAACCGCATTTGGAATTAAAACTGGAATCTTGGTTCATATATTATTTCCGGGACCCCGTTGTTCAAAATATAATTTTTGATAAACTTAAGGACTTTGTTCAATATATTGTTATGCCAGATCATAACCGAACGCTAGCGCGAGAACCGGTCGACCACTGCTGCATTTTACTTGCCCGATTTGAATAGGTTATTGCTCCCAAACAATTGAGCTTCGGGTACTCGTTCGGCTCCCTAGATTCGTACACTTTATCAATGTCAACCTTGGCGCACAATGGTTTTAAATGTTTACTTGCAGTTCTACACCATTGGCATCCGTTGACGGCTGGAACTAGGCTCCTATGGATATACGGAACCACACGGGCGCACTCCGTCAAACATGTTGCCTTTCCAGTGATCGAAACTGTAGACTCTATTCGCGGAGAAGTCTCTTAGAGAAATTGGATTGACGAGGCAGTCGTCCATCCAGAGACAGTTTTCCACAGACGTGGAAATCGTTCGCATGAGAGCCGAGATAGGGCCACATGCACAAAACTTCTTCTACTGCTCCGGATCCTTCGTCACAATCATGACCTTCTTCGGCTGCATCTGTTAGTTCCCTTTGTAGTTTGCCTCAACTAATATCAGGTTGAACAGCTCCGGTAAACAGTCTGCTTTCCTGATGGCTTCAAATTTCTTGGCATCAGGCACATCATTATGTTGGTAGGGTACCCCTGCAAATGATGAGGAAACACAAAACACGGTATTTGTATTCACACTACTGGTCCCAGGCGTTACTGTCTCCAGGTTAGCATCCATCATCTCTATCTCAGACCTACTCCCACTCGTAACCTCTGGATTTCGGTGAAAAAAATCTATTTAGTTATTCAAGTTATTGTTCATCTTCCATGAAAATTGATAAGTAAACAGGCTTGATAAGTTTCAATGAATACTAAATTGACTTGACTTACGTAGATTACACTGTGTGATTGCTTCAACTAATACTGCATGGACCTTGGATAAAACATGCATTTTAGTAGTCCTTGCAGAATTGAATCTACCGGCAGCGATTTCTTTTTTAATGTAACCGAGGAACGTTTGGACAGAAATTTTGTCAGCTGGTTCCTTCCTCTTTGAGTGCCCCGATAATTAATCTGCGATTTCAATATTCACCCTCGGCAAGTGTTCTATCTTGAAATCGAATTATACGATATGGTCTACCCAGCTGGTAAGATGACTGAACATCGTTTTTTTTAATGTTGCTATTTAACAGTGTTAGTAGCGTCTTATAATCTTTTACAACTGCAAAAAGAGTACGAAAGACGCATTTTTCAAGCTAGTTTTCTGAATATTTTTTTCCGTCGCGTTCAGGAAACGTTACGAAACAGAGGTTGGTCTCGATCTGTTCGAGCACCGCTAAGCTGTTTGAGCACCGCCTAGGCCGTTATGACTCGTATTGCTCATTTCCTACTGAGCAACGCGCGTAGAGCCGCTGAACTTATGAATTGAGCCCATGAAAAATTTCAACTGTGACAGCGTTTTCGGCTGATTTATTTCATTGATCGGAATCAATTTTCTATCGGGAGGCGTGATGTCCGAGATGGTATTAAGATTGGCCAAAGACTCATCTTCCTTTTCCAAAAAGCTGCCTTTTTCTAATTTCAGAGTCTTTTTTTTTTTCGTTAAATTTACTCAGATTGTTCTCCATCATAGCAAGATGTTCGATTTTTGAGACTTTCGATTAAAGTTAAAAAATGTCGATGAACACTTGTGCGCTTGGGAACTCTTTTTTGATCGAATCCGTTTTTGATCGAATCCAACTCCTTGATATTCCGCCATCGTTGTCGTGAGACTGTAAAAGCCCGTTTTGAATCTATAAGTCCTGGAAATGTTTCCCCTATGAAGAAGAAATTTCAATGTTTGTTCGTGTCGATATTTAGTGGCAATTGCCACTACACGTGCGTTGGGTCCATAGTCGTGAAAAATCTCATTCACTTTCTTTTCACTAACTGTTTATCCGACAACGTCCATAAATTTTTTAATAATTGGCATTTGATACTTTTTATTTTGGAACAGGTTATCTATTTTCTTGAAAGGATATATTCACCGACTCGTATTTCTTGAACAATATGACAATTGGCATTATAAGGTTTTTCCAAACACTTTTCTAAATTTTCGATATGCCTTGTTTTAATAGTTTGTCGAATTTTTTATCCACATTATCTTGAGAAGTTATCGGTACCCGCCAATTTTTTTGTTCTATCGCAGTTATACTATGCAGAAATTCCGCCTGATTTTTGTAGTTACGTATTCATCTCACCATGTTAAGTAAGTTACTGAATTGCTTACTGAAAGGCTACTGCCAGTCATCCAGAGGTGCTCTCTGGTTGTCAATTTCCAGTTGACCTCGGATGTTCAACACTTTCACCCCACGGATATGCCTGGACCCACTTGAGCCTCACTGCTGACATCAGATCTCGCCCAATGGTTGATGGCCGACAGCGACCGATCACCTTGATGACTGCATCAATTTTCGATCCATTGGAAAGTAGTGTTACATTGGAATGAATCAGTTTTAGCAGATTGTTTTCATTTTCTCTGAACGGATCATCATCTGGTCTTATCGGCATCAATCGCACTCCATGGACTCTCAAGGTACGTTATAATTCCCCAAACAGAAATGCCAGAAACGGCGACATGCTGTCAACCCATATTCCGGTCGCCTTCTAATTGATTTTCAACGCTAACACTATTATCTCGGCGTTATCAGATTGCGTTGCGCCGCCGCTCCGCTAAAAACAGAGTGAAAAATTTCCAGCCACCCCCTTCTTACTACTTGCTCAGGTATGTTTCGAAGGTTTTATCACATTCCTTTTTGAGTACGATGTTAAGCAAACCAAAAATTCTCGGATATCTTGTTGTTGCGAGATTCAACTGAAGCATTTGGTTATGCATTTCATCTTGTTCACGTTCGCTCAGGCATAATTATATGTCTGAGACAAGCGCTTGTGCGGCCTCCATTTTGTGTTTTTTTTCAAAAGCATGTGCAGGTAATGCCGCAGTTTCGCCGCATTAAGTTCTTGCGCGAAATAAAATGAGGTAGGGTTGAATCCATGTTAACTCCAGCGTTAACCGAGTTATCCAGCGCTCCCACAGCATTGGTGCCTCAATGCATTTACTCGGCCAAAATGCCGTAAGCCTGAGTGGTTTTTTTCCGGTCTCTGCGCTGTACCTTGCTTGCTGCACCATAAAAAAATTGTGATCAACCTAATTCTGTTCATGTCCTATATTCTTCAACTATATTCGGTAATCAATCAAGCACAACTGTTTAACACTCAAAAACACCCGACGGCAAAATGACAGGTACTTAATCAAGTGGCACGGGAGAGGCAGGCAACTCAAAAGGCGACAAAAAAACTACTCAAACAATTCAATCTCAAACCAACTGCTGTGCTAAAATAAACATAAATGACAAGACATAATTCTACTTCAATAAAATATTAAGCTGATCTCTGTAATGTTTTTTTTCAGCTTTTACTTGTTTCAATCACATTTTCGGGTTGTAATCAGATTATAAAACTTTCTACTGTTCTTTTTTTACTTTTGATGTTGAAATTTTCTAAAGATTTAAGATTGCGCATCAATTAGTGCCAAACAACAACTTCATTATTTTAGGCACGTCGGATACGAAAACAAGTTGGTTTCTACAACTTTTCGAAATACAGTGTCTATGGCTCAGTGTCTATAATTCAGCGTCTATTTATTGTGAGGAAAAGATTGTCAGGAAAAGAATCACATTTTTGATGAGGACCAATTGATAATGTGAAAATGTAGAAAGGGTGTTGCGCTTAAAAGGAGTGCGCTTGGTGATAAGTGCCTTGGATAGTGGGGTGGGAATATTAGAGGGAGGGGGTGGCGTTGTAGTGTTATGGGGTTTAGCGTGGTTAGTTGAGAACCGATTGCATGCCTGTTGATGAGTGCCCTGGCGACAAAAGAGAGTGCTACGAGGCATGATATGGCCACGAGGGAGAAGCCACACACTATGGCTCCATGGTTCACCAGTGACTCCTTCTCATCCAAACCAGACCGTGAAACCCCGGCCTCACTTCTAGTGCTGCTAGTACCTACAGAACCATTGCCAGTACCAGTACCTGTGCCAGTGCCAGTACTGTAGCCGCCCACTCCTACTGTCAACTGTCTGGAACAAATTCAAGTAGTTTATACTGTTTTTTTGATTGTTTTGTCCGACAGATAAGTGCATTTTAATTATAATATGATTATCCAGTCAAAAACTGATGTCCTAAAATGGAACAAAAAAAAGAAAAGCTGATTCCTTGAATCAGAATCAAAGGAGATACTGTTAAGAACATTTTAGCAACCAGAATTGTGGGCAACGGGGTTTGATTGTTCATTGATTCAGTAGAGTTCATACCGGAGTTTGTTTCTCAGTAGCTTTGTGAGTGTCAAAATAGACAATATAGGTGCAACAAAATACACCACGAGGCCTGAAAAAGAAACATAGACCAGCCGAAGATGCATGTTCACATCCGGATCTCCCTCGCAAGTCTTGGAGTCTGGGTTGTATTTGCCGACGTACATGGTTCCACTCATGACCAGTGCACTGAGAGCAAGGTTGGCAAAGAAGCACTTGACTGGGTAGGAGATATTGAGCATGAGTGTCTGCTGGTATCTGTTGATGTTCCTCACTGCCAGGTATCTGTCAAGAGCCAAAAGTACCAGCTCGTTCTGGGCTGCAGTTGCAAATGTGTAGAGCACCCAGCGCCAGAACTTGCAAAACCCTCCGAGCTCAGAGTCCCAAATGAAATTCCTAAGAAAAAACAAAAAAACTTAATTATAAAACTACTACGACAAAAAACATAAAGTAGACAAGTTGTTGTCTTTCGTTTACCCGGATTAATCAAAATGTCCTTTTGTGAACAAGAAATTCAAGGTCATTAAAAAAGTTATTTGTATTTTTAATAAACTAGAATTAACACACCTTAAAAAGCCTGAAACAAGCTTTATCCAAACAACGATAGCACCGCATCGATCAAAATAAAAAATTCAAAATCAGAGCACAAGCTTTTAAAAAATCAAAAGAAAAATATTGAAAAAAGCTTTTGCCGAAATTTCTTTGCTAATTTTAAAGATCCAGTTGTTTTTCTCTGAATGAAGAGCCATTGGGTTAGGTCAAAAGCTGCTAATTTTGAGATTACAGTTTCCTTTGTAAGCTTGGGGTCATTCAATCAGAAAAATTGGAATAACCAGACCAGTGTTTTCTCAAAACGCAAAAGATGTTTGTGAGATTCCTAAATGCGGCTGAAAGGGTTTTAATGTGTTACCACTGCAAAGGAGCTTTTTTGAGACAGTAAAATTTTTTGAGCTTTTTTGAGAATTGTTAATTTAGTAAATGAGGAAATACAAAAATGTTGAAAATTTTTCTTTTTCTGTTTCTTAAATGTTAACTTTTTTCTAGTATCAGGGATACTAAATTAGATGGAAATTATAAAAACTGCACATTGTGCAGGCAAGTCAAGTTGCTATTTGCTGTGTAAAACGGAAGAAAACTTGTCTCAGACCATGAATCCACTCCTTGATACAGCTTCAAAAATGTGCGCGACTTACAAAATCTTTGATCAAGCTTTTTAAAGTGTAGTAAACTCTTGGTTGAAACGAAAATACTTTTTTTTCAGGTTTTTGAAAACCAATAATAATTAATCTTAAGTATATGACCATTCTCCAGATATTGAGACTGAAGAAAAACTTTCCTCTAATTGGGTTACTTCAACGTGATCAAACACCACATTGCTGAAAAATTCGTTAAAATCGTTTTTAGGTAGTTTGCTTTCAGAAATGAGATTGACTTTTGTCATAACAAGGATAGTTATTGGTCTCTACTTGTTTGGTCAATATATACCCTATTTGCTCAATTTATATGATGCTTCGAAATTTAACATAAAAAATCAATCAATCGAATATTATAACGGTAAACTTACGAATCTAATCCCTTCAAACTGAAAAAGCTCCAGATAAATCTAAAACATTGGCAAAAACGAAATCCTAGATAAATTGAGAATCCCTGAATATTCCAGTGAAAATTTCAGATGATTTCCCACGCTGATTTATTATTTCAAAGGTTTGAATTCAAAAAAACAGCAGGTTTGTAGGTTTTCACATTTTTGTAACCAAATTGAGTGTTCATAATTATGATGCAAATAAAAAACTTCAAACAGAATCCCCTGCAAACAAAAAGCAGGTCATTGATTCATTGATTGAATTTTGAACGGTAAAAAAACCGTCTGTTAAGTTTTGATTTAAAAAAAAAGTTATTTGAATTAAAGTGTAAAGCATGTGAAAAGCTATTATAACTTAAACTGGGTAGTTTTTTGTGAGAAAAAACAAGAAATTACTTTCTGCAATTACTCTAGTTAAGCCGCTGATTTAAAACCTATAAAAAAATCAGTCTAATTAGTTTTATTAAGAAAGACCGTAAATCAGTTTGGGCGAACTCTGCGCTGATGTTTGGTCACGTAAGTTGACGTATGTTTTTTTAAGGTAGCGCGAAAAAACCTTAAAAAGTTCCGTTTTTCAGTACCCAGTGCTTGCGTCCCTTCCGCGCTGCTTTGTTATCTTTAATTGTAGCTGCTAAAAACGGATGCTAAAAACTATTTAGGATGCTGAAAACTGTTGAGGAAAATGGGAAAGGATGAAAATTTCGCAAAGAATAGAGGGAGGCAAGGCGTGGGAGGGGTAAGCAAGGAAAGAGGATGAAAAATTTTTTAAATCTTGTTAGTGTTCGTATTTGGATGGGTTATAGCTAGGGTCTGAAATTGAACACACAGTTTGTGGTGATTTTTACATTAATCTCCAGCGAATGAAAACCTAGGATATTTTGATAGGAAATGGCATGCATGAAATCAAAATGAGCTGCCTCCCAACAAGATTGACAGAGAATAGCAGCATTTTGCTTGACTTTGGCTTCTCTCCTAAAACTTTCAAAAGCAGACATACTCAGCTTGACCTAGCTGTGATTTCGCTTTCAGTCTGATTCAACCAATTATATGGATTTTAACAGAGGGAGGGGTACAGCTTTTACATGCGTGTATTTCCAGACAATAAAGCTGAACACAGTTTATTTAAGAGAAAAAACTTGCAAATATCCATTTAGCGTCAATGTGTTTTGGTTTGTGCCTGAAGCGGGTTTTCAATGCTAGCATTACGATACAAGAACTTTAAAACGTGGTATTTCAGTAGTGGCAATTTTCTTTTTTGTTGAATTTGTGCATTGAGACCCGATTCAGTCTCAATCTGTGAAACGAGAGTCACCAGGTTCAACCAATTGCTGCGTCTTGATGTGGAACATTTCTACAAGCTGTTGTGAAAAGTTCGATTATTAGATTTACAATTACATTACAAATAAACGAAATAAATCCCGCGTAGGTTGAATTGAACATTTAAAATGTTCTTTGCTGATTTAAATCACATTGCGTTTTTGACTTTTGCTGATTGGCATTGCGTTATGTTTTTAATATCCTAGCTGCATTGTAGTGATATTTTTCGGTGATATCACCAAACGTTTGATAAATACATCTTAATGCTTCGTCTTGACTTTCTCCCACACGAATTTTAGTTTATCGCTTACTTTGTGACGGTCTGAATGCTTCTGTAGTTAATTGTAAATTTGGTTTCAATAGTGAGAGGTGGCTTAGTTATCCCAGAAAAGATTTGTCTTAAAACCTTTGGTTGTGTTAAATAAGGTACGGCTTCTAATTTAGAAGGTTCTTGTTTTATACCGGCTGCTTCAAATTCAAATCTCAACTTTGTTTCTTATACTGTCCTATTGTGACTCAATATATCACCTTTAGTCACGAATTTGTATCTTCTAGGAAGCAATATACTCCTGTAAGGCCATCGAATGTGTAGTCCATTGCCTTCTGGAAATCTTTTGGCATGTCAGTTAAGACGTAGAATCCTATCTTGAGTCTGTATATGCATAAGATTTCTTCAAATACGATGCTAAATTTTCAATGTTTACTGATAGATTTGTCTAAAATCATATGACTGAAGCCGTTGCTTAGGTCTAGAGATGTGAATCAAACCTATCCGTTTGACTTAGAACTTATCATTTGGGCTGCTGAACCTGGTAAATCTAATAAATTGGGCATCTAAAATTAGTTTATGAAAGTTTGATTCGACTTGGAAATTTTTTTGGTGTTTTACTACTGGAGCAACAGAGTGGCCGCTAGTACAATCATCCAAGTTAATGATATGCTCCTCCCTCGTTAGCTTCTCTATCTCTGCTCCCATGTTCTATTGGATGTGTTTGGAGACATGTCTGCCCCTTTACTTGAATGGGTTTAAAATATGAATTAAAAAGAAAATAAATTTAATGATTCTTTGACCTGCATATTCTTGTAAAATTAACGTTGTAATTTCTACGTAGAACGCCGCCCTTATCCTGATTCCGGTAACTCTTCTGGTTTTTTCACGATAGCTACTGTAGATGTAGATTTCATCTGCTTGTTACATTTCCCAAAGCTGGTCGAATCGCGTATTATTTCCGGATGTCGGTAATCTGGCATCTTTTTTATACAAACGTTCGAATTGACATCAATCAGTTATGTTCCGAACACTTCGATGATTATTGTCTACAAATTATATAGCGATTGGTTTAGCTTGATTGATAGACATCTTGCTTTCGATTCCTTCTTTAACAAAGCGTCTGCAGTTTTCTGATTGACAAACAATGCTGGGCTTCCCGTAATGATAGTTTCGCTGATTAGTGATATTTCGCTCTAATGGCGGCTCTGAGGCAATTCAATGTAACAATTTCTGTGTTATAAACCTCTAAATTTTCGACCAATTTTTCCTCATGAGGCTGATCTTGAATTCTGAGCACTGAAAAATTTGGCTCGCTGTCTGAGTTTTTTTAGTTTTGTCGTTTCATCTTCATCTTCATCTGATGCTATGTTATCAATTTGTTGTTTTGCCAAATTGCCACTTTTAACAAGGTGGCCTCCTTTCCCATGTAGGTTGCAGTTCACTGTGCGAGCTGCACATTTGTCGCTGTGTTCTAGCGTGAACTTGTTGCCACAAAAAGCAGGGTCTAGCTGAATTTGGCCTTGAATTTTCCAACTTCTGTTTTTGTAGTTGATTATTTCGACAATTTTGATTCCTAGAAATGCCAAGTGCCCTTTTCTGGACGTTGTTTTCGATTGTATTGACATAGTGGGTTCTTGTTTGATATTGACGTTCTGAATGAAAGTACTTCTACCAAAAAGGTTTGCCTCTATAGGACATTAGCTGTAGCATAAACCTTTCTGTTGGAGCAAAGCTGCTCGGAGGGTATCGTGTACTGTAGCCCTTTGTCAGATACAAAACTCTAATTAAATATAGAAAATATCGTTTTTGCTTTGAATATGTTCCAAATAACTTTTTTTGATGGCTCGAGATCAACCACATTTTGCCACTTGTCCCACAAGACAAAAACAGAATGCTTCAAAACCTTCTGTATCACTTTGGTGTGCATTGTAGAAACCGCTGGACTATGTAGTTCTTTCTCTTTTTTGAATAGTAGTTCGCAAAGAATATGGATATTGCGAAAATTCAGTGTATTCAGATTGACGTATGGGTCTTGTTGAATGAATCGCTTTTCCCCTCAATACCGAGCGCAGAAAAAAAACAGTCTTGACTTCACTCTTCATCGGCTTCGTATTTTGTATTAGTTCATATTCTGGGGCCTTTTCTTTTTTGTTAGTCGTTTGCTTCGATGCTTTTTCGACTAGCTGCGGCGTTGCGTGCTGTTCTGTTGGTTGCTTGATGTATGTT